TGTATGTGAATTTTTTGGAAGAAATTCAATAATTCTGACTGCTTTTTTCTGTATGATAAATAGGCGATTAATAATACTCATATTTTGACTCCATGATAAAAGGCAATATGTGAGGTGAGAGTGAAATAAAGCATAGTAAATAGATTTTAAAGTTTTTTGTTGAATGAAATGTCTTAGCTTTGATAGAATGGCAAGGGATCTATTCAACTTATTAGAGATATCGTTATAATGATAAGCCTAGTTTAAGTTTTTGTCTAGCTTTATACCCAAGTAGTTAACAAATTTTTTACAACAAAGTTTTTTCCTATTTAATTTAACTTTGATCTGCTGGTCTAATTTTTTGTGGGGACTTTTAAATAATATTAAATCAGTTTTTTTAGAGTTGAGAGAAATTTTGTTTGCATTAAGCCAATTGCATAGTTTCTTAAGGTCATAGTTAACATATTTTTTGATTTTTTTTACAGATTTATTAAAGTAGAGAAGGTTTGTATCATCTGCAATGTGTTGGACTCAACAAAATTTTAATGCTTTAAACATGTCTTTTTTATAAAAAAGAAACAGCTAAGAGCCAACGACAGATCCCTGAGGAACACCTACTTTGATATCATTTAAGTTTGAGTTCACTCCACCAATAGATACTAATTGAGTTCTATTAGTAAGAAAAGATTTGAACCAGGAGTTTGAAACTCCTCTAATACCATAGTAGGATAGTTTATAGAGTAGAATGTCATTATCTACAGTGTCAAATGCCTTTTGAAAATCAATAAAAATATCACATCCAAACATTCCTTCATCTAGAGAATTTTTAATTTTTTCTTTTAAACATAAGCCTTTCAAGAATTTTATCTATGTTAGAGGAGGGAAATTGGCCTATAGTTTGACATTATTAGTTTTGAATCAAAAAATATATAAAAATAAATAAATAAAAAAAAAATAGTTTTAAAAACAGGTATAACTTTGGCAGTTTTTAAGTTTTCTGGGAAAATACCGCTTGAGAATGAGGTATTAAAAATGTTAGAAAGAATTCTTGAAAGTTCAGTTTTTAATAGTTTTAGAATTTTAACTGGTAGACCATTTGGTCCAGAAGCTTTATTTGAGTCTAATTTTTGAGATTTCATCTATTTGAGTCAATAATTTTTGAGATTTCATGTTCGACAGTATGTTTTATAAAGAAAGATTTTTGAGCAGGATTTGATAAGTAATATGTGAAATGATTCATGGATGAAGGAATTGTTGCCTGGACATCCCTACCAATGCCAGTAAAGTAGTTGTTGAATGTATTACAAATATCAAAGGGGTTTGTTATTGTTATATTGTTATGTACGATTACATTAGGAGTTGTGTGAGAGTTGCTTTTAATATTAATGATGTTTTTGATACCTTTCCAGGTTGCCTTTATATTTTTTATGTTTTCAGTAAAATAATTATCAAAGTAATTTTTTTTTGCTTTTTTTTTGGAGTTTATTACGAAATATTTTATACTCATTGTGGAATATGGTTTTATTTGTTTGATTTTTAGACCTAATATATTTTTTGAAGAGCTTGTTTTTGTGCTGTATAGAGTGCTTGAGTTCATCAGATATCCATGGTTTAGTCTTGAATTTAAAATTTTTTTTGTTAAGCTTTCTAAAATGCGATATTGTTTTTAATACAATTTATGTACCTTTCTAGTTCTTAACTACCCAATGCTGTGTGCTAGAAGGTTAATAACACAACTGCATGGTAGGCAGCTGAATATCTTTTAAAATAAACTATTATAAATTAGTTTTTCAAATAGATGTCACAAATTTACAAATGCTGCATGAACTATTAGCTGAGCTCTGTGAATACACACAACTCAGAGATTCCTTCTAGAATTTTTTATATATGTATATAATTATTTGTACCTTATTTTTTATTTGGTTGTACTTTACTAAAATCACTAAACATGTATATATATATATATATATATATATATATATATATATATATATATATATATATATATATATATATATATATATATATATATACATGTATACATATATACATATTTAATACAGATAACTTTATTTCAATGTCATTTTAGCTACTAAAAACTAGCTTACTAAAATCACTAAACATGTATATATATATATATATATATATATATATATATATATATATATATATATATATATATATATATATATATATATATATATATATATATATATTTAAACAATTTAAAAAAATGTATTCTACAAAATAGAGTGCTCAATGTTCTTAAAAGAACAGAGCAATTATAAATTAGTAGAAAATCACTTAACAAAAATTTTTTTTCATTTTACACTGTTTCATCAACAAAGACTCATCAGAAACACTGATTTCTGATGAGTCTTTGATGATGAAACACAGTGTAAAATGAAAAAAAAAAATTTATTAAGTGATTTTCTACTAATTTATATATATATATATATATATATATATATATATATATATATATATATATATATATATATATATATATATATATATATACACACATATATTTAATACAGATAACTTTATTTTAATGTCATTTTAGCTACGTATCTGACAATATGAGATCAATGGTTTTTTGAATGCTGCAATTCGGAATATCTGCATAATCGTGGTCACTATTAGTTGGTTTACTCTCCAACAAATCATATTTTCTTATTAATTCAATTTCAGTCAGATATTTTATTACTGGAGTGAGCAAAAGAAAAAAGAATCTAAAGCTTTTAAAATATGAGTTTGATTTCTGATGCTGCAGTTTCCATTTGAACATTGAACGCTAGCTCGCATCAAGAGTTGTTTATATGTGGCTGTGAGTTGTTGGCATTTGATATTGTTGTTAAACATTATTGCAGATCTCTTAGATAAATAAGATCTCACAGCACAATAAAGAGCTTGTTAGATAGTTTTAACTGAGCTTATATGTGAAATGATTTTATGGTTAACTTTCTTTTTCTTCTCAGTCGAGATATATATTTTAAACAGATTTAACTGCTACCAAATATCTAATGAAATCAGCTTTTAGACAATAGATCATTTTCGTACCAATTATTCTCTTTAAGACTAATGATATAATTATATGCCATGTCAAAAAATGGAAAACAAAGAGTCTTGTTACATGCACACAATGCTGACTTGTATCCATTGGCAAATAGGTTTCTTGAATTTAATATGGTGTTTTGAATATTTGTATATTAAAAATTTAATAAATACATTTTTTTCAAACAAATGTATTTTTACATACATTTTCATCACCGATTGTACTGAGTGATTATCCTATAAATATAATAAATAAAATAGTCGTAAAATAGAAATAAAAAGTTATTATTAACTTTTTATTTGTTTTAAAAGTTATTATAAATAACTATAATTCAGACTTGAGTTTTTTTTACCAATAAAAGTGACACTTAAAAATATTTTAATCATATCATTTACGCAATAATGGCATTTAAGTATAGTATAAGCCTAAAAGAAGCCCCTGAGTTTTTGTGTACTTGCAGCACTCAGTTAATAGTTCATGCAGCATTTGTACAAATTGGTATCTTGGTTAAAAAATATAAAGTATAAAATTGTAGGTAGACATGATTGCTGCTGTTTACCATGCTGTTATGAATGGTAAGCAGCAGCTATTATTAACTCTCTAGCATACAGTATTGGGTTCTTATTCTTAGTTATAGCACTCTTAGTTAGAACTAAAAGGCACATAAATTATAAATAAAACTAGAATTGTAAATTTCAATGATGCCATTTAATGATAAATTCAATTATTTAAAAATATGTAAATTTTTTTTCCTCTAATAATTATAAAATTCATTTGTTTGTTTTTTGTTGTTGTTTTTTTTACAAATGTATTAGTCTTATTTCATTATTTTCTATTGTATTTTGATAAAGTAAAATAGAATGTTTATCAGTTTCACCGCTAGGAACTAATATCGCCGCCATCTTGTAAGGCCAATTTTGGATTCAACTTTTATCAGAAAAAACAATAGAATCCGCTATCCAGTTATATTTGAGATCAGTGGTATGATCGGCAGAACAGAGCAGATTGGCAGAGCAGATAATTGTAATGTTGATAACGGCCACTGATCTCAAAATATAACTGATCTTAAAATATAAGTTATATTTTTCTCAAAATATAAGTTATATTTTCTCAAAATATAAGTTTTATTTTGAGATCAGTGACAATGGCAGAGCAGATTTTTCTTCCTATATTCACCCATAATATCAAAATAATGCTATGTTAAGAGGTAAAGCATAATGTGCTCTTGTACCAAGATAATTTTTATAGTCCTGTTCACAAGAATTATTTTACACTAAATTTTACAAAAAAGTATATAAGAAAAAGTTAAAATAAAATAAAAATTTTTTTCATTAAACAATATAGTAAGATAATGAAATTACTGAATACTAGTGAGAAAAACAATTAATGCTAAGATATTTCAATTTGGGATATTTTTGCATAACAATCATAAACAGCGTTTATGGTATAGCCATTAAAATATGTTTTATTGACCATGCTTTCTGCATGTAAAATTATTGCTAATTTCCTTATGAGCAAATAGTTATTATATATATATATATATATATATATATATATATATATATATATATATATATATATATATATATATATATATATATATATATATATATATATATATATATATATATATATATACATATATATATATATATATATATATATATATATATATATATATATATATATATATATATATATATATATTATGTGCATTTTAGTATATATAGTTGATAAAATATGATTAAATAATTGACTCAATGTTTTATACATTTTACAAACTATAGAATCTATAATACATTGTATCAATAAATTTATGTTCTGCATAAAATATATAGTATTATTTGTATTATAAACACAGTTACTGTGTTTATAATACAAATAATACTATATATTTAAAAAAGTATGTTTACAGGAGTTGTTTTTAAAACTATAAAATATACTTTTTAAATAAATACAAAGATGTATCTAGTATTCTGTATATTTGCATTAATGATAGCCTTAAAAAGATGTTTAATACTGATGATCTAGATTTATGGAATTTATATCTTTCCAAATATGAATTTGTTTTAAACCAGTTTTCAATAAAGAAAAAAAAAATAAGTCTTGTCAACTTGGACAGTTGGTATGTTTGTTTATATTGCTTTAAATTAATTTTTTTTTAATCTTGTTTTTTGTAAAATATTATTCAAATAACTTATTTTTATAAAATTATTGATAAAGTTATTGTTAAAAATCGAGTTTAAATTTAAAAATATTAATACAGGTTTCATAATGTTCTTGGTAATGAGTTACAAAAAAATCAGCATCTTACAAAGGAACAGCTTGTCAAAGTTATGGAATGGAAGCTTACTGTATGTTTATCATATATTTATATTATACATATTGTAATTATTGTATATGATTATGATTATCATATAAAGTATTTTAAAATGTGTGCACTTCAACTTTAGTAATCGCGAACCTTGATAGATGACCTTAATAGAACAGCAAATTTTGTTCATAATTTATGAATTTTTAAAAACTTAGTACTTTAGATCTAAGCAATATAAAAGTATTTCTAGTAATTTCTAGTAATTTTTCAATGTCAATCTAAAGCAGTTATTTAAAAAATAAAATAAACAAGACAAAAATGTCAAAAATTATTTCTAGTTGATAAAACTTTTTTGTATGAGGCACTTGCTTTGTAAGCAAAAACCACTGAGTTGTTATTTGTTTTTTCTGCATAGCAACCTTGTTTGTCAAGGATTGTGTTTCTGATTTATAGTGTTAAGAAAGTGAGAAAATAAATTAAATTTAATAACCTCTTTGACTGTTGCAAACTTCCTTAGATTTGTAGAAGTTATTATGGTAGCAAAAAGGATAAAACCTTGCGATACCCCAGAAGTACCCCAGTTTAAATACTTGTGGTGGAAATGGATGATTCAATAAAGTGATTCAAAAAAAGATGATTCAATAGTACCATTAAATGGGGTGAATAGAAACAAATTTCATCTTTGGTATAAAATTTTGCATACTTGCAGCTGTTCTAGATAAACAATTTTTTGTCCAAACACATGTCTCTATTAGACCTATCTGTTTATATAGTATTTAAATTTTAATTTAATTTTTAAATTTGTTTATAAAGTTTTAAAATCATCTTCATCTTCTGATTCTAACTCCATGCGCGTTCGGCTTTTATTTAGAACTTGTTTGGAGGAACATGTGATTAGGGGATTTAAGCTCTCATCGTCGTCAACAAAGTCTTCAACACTAATACTTTTGCCAGGTTTCACATTAACTTTGGTTCTTTTTTTTCTTATCTTAGGAGTCTGATCTTGTCTCAGACTCTGAAGGAGCTCTTTGAAACTATTGTCAACCACTTCATTGTTATTTTCAGGATCCTGGTTTTCCTCTTCATCAATAATTTGTGGAACCATAGAGAGAACTGAAACAAAACAGTTGTGTCAGTAAAGTGTCTAACATAGATATATAGCACACAGTATGTATTTTATGCAGTATAAATGTGATTTAGTATTAAATTTTTTTGTGGTGTGTATAAAAACACTAAAAATTATGTGTTTCTATTCACCCCGTAAATTCAGAAAACCTAACCTAAAAAATAAGAATAATTATTCTTATTTTTTAATTATAAAGTCTTTTATATGAATAATTAAACTATGTTTTGTACAGCTATTTACTTTCAAGACTAATAGTAATTCCGACCTGGAAAGTTCAAAGTGGATTAAAAAAAAATTATCGCACATAAAATTTAACACGAAAAACAAACAAGAACCAGTGCTGCCAACCAAGCAAAACATTATTTCACTTTCAGGCTAAAGTGTAGTAACCTAAAAAAAATAATAGCTACCACTATTTACCCATTGTTATGTAGAAGTTAGATTATATATATAAAAATGAAGTTTTGTTTCTATTTACCTCACTGTTGCTATTCACCGGGTTTTACGGTAGTATTTAAAAATAAAAACAACAGGTACCATTTTCCATCAAACAGAAAAACCTGATTCAGTTTAACACTTATTAAGTTTAGAGAGTATTGAAGAGAGTTCTGGAGAACATTTTTGTAGCTTTAAAGGTATTTTCATCACCGAAAGCTTGTACTTTCGCAAAAATGCTAATTTTTTTCCTAAGTAAAATGTTTCTAAATGTGTTTGCAAAAAAAAAAAAATTTCATAGTTTTCATTAAATGTCTCAATAAGTTTATGATAAATTCAGAGTATTTCTGAAGTTTTAAATCCACTTGCTATTTCTCTGTTACTAATCATGGAGCTATCCTTCATACCTATTATATGTCACTTAGTTGCTTTGCTTTCTACTCATCAATTTATTACTGTGTATTTTAACTTTTAGATCAAAATGTTAATAAACTGGTTGCATTTTAGAGATGTTTTAAAAAGAATTAAATAAGTATTTTACTTTATCAATTTTTTTTTTTAATGCACAGTATTTAATATTACATATTTTAACTTATATACATATTTTAACTTATATACAATATTTTAAATAAATATAAAAATTTTTTAAAAAAAATATAACAGCAATCCTGACCCTAAACCTGACTCCTGCCAATTTACACTCATCTGTCAATATGTGCAGTGACGGATCCAGGAAATTTTTGTTAGGGGTGGGGGGATGTTGTATTTTGTATCACATTTTCATCTCCTAAAAGATATTTTAGAATTTTTAGATTCTGGTGGGGGGGGGGGGATGATGCATACTACTCCTCTCTTCCTTGATCCATCACTGTATGTGTGTATGTTTTTCTGGGAATATTTGTATTGCCAGGTAGTGTCTTTGTATAAAGGACATTCATTACAACAACAATAAAAAAATTGTTGTTTTTTTAATTATTTTCAATAAATGTTGTTTTTTTTATTAAAAATTTAAAGGAATTGTTTAGAAAGGAATATTTCGGCCATCTTTGCAAAATTTAATCAAAGAAAATGATTCAAATTCAGTTATAAAATTTTCAGAAAATGCATTTAAACTAGTAGATACTTGTGAAGCAATTAAAGAGTTGTGTAATTTAAGAGGTGTTGGTCCTGCTACTGCATCAGGTTTATTTCAAATTAACAATTTTTTATGTTAATTTTTGTTGTTTTTTTCCATAAAGAGTTTGTAAATATATATATATATATATATATATATATATATATATATATATATATATATATATATATATATATATGTATATATATATATATATGTATATATATATATATATATATATATATATATATATATATATATATATATATATATATATATATATATATATATATATATATATATATATATATATATATATATATATTGTTTTAGCGATATTGACTGCATTTTCTCCTGAAAGGTTTGGCTTTATGTCAGATGAGTCAGTCAAGGAAGTTTTACCTGGAAAAATAAAATACACCTTCAACTATTACCAAACTTATTTAGAAAAAATTTCAGAAAAAGCAAATGATTTAACAATAAAAGGTTAGTCTTTTAAAATCGTTAAATTTATAACAGAAGATTTAAGGATATGTAACATAAATAAACATTGATTAAGTCTTTTGTATTTATTTCATCCGTACTTTCTTTTTTTCAAAATGATGGCTTCTTTTCATCTTGCTGGTCTGATTTTATAGATATTTGAAATATTTTTACAAAAATTATTAAAATTGAATTATGGTGATTAGAACCTGGAAACAGAAAAATCAGTGTAAAGCACAAGAAAAATTGAGAATTGCTGGATAGTGATTTGTTTTTTTATTTATATAAATTTTTTTTTTCTAATTTAAATTTTCTTTATTTTAGGTTGAAATTATAATTAGGTTTTAAATAATATTTAGTTGACTATATATATAAATATATATATATATATATATATATATATATATATATATATATATATATATATATATATATATATATATATATATATATTATAAAGTTATATTATATATATATATATATATATTATATATATATATATATATATTATATAATATATATTATAAAGTTAAGTAAATCAAAGTTAAATAAATACTGTTAGGGTAACATCATCTTTAAATAAGAATGTAATTAATGAATTAAGAAATACTTTTAAATTAAAAAAAAATAGGATTACTTTTAAAATCATAAAACAAAAACTTAAAGCAAATAACAAATTTTAATAAAAATAGCAACAAAAGTATTGCTGTTGCTAATTTTTTAGTATATAATTATAATATAAGTATATGTAATATTTATCTATTTATTAATACCGACCTAACTGACGGCCTAGAAATGTTTAAGGTTGGCAAAAAATCGCCAACCTTGTTTCTATGGTTTATGTTATGTTATATATAATACTTTAAGTTATATATTATTTGTCAGAAAACACTTTTAGACAGGTAGGAACATTTTTTTTTCAATATGACTTGGTCAAACAGAAACTTTATTTAAATCAGCAAGGTTCATTAGTCAATTCAACTGCAAAAAGTTTTATAAAATAGTTCTTACAAGCTGTTTTCTCAACACCATTTTCATAAAAAATAAGATTTTATTTCTTTCTGTGAAGCAATTGTTTTGAGTGTTTTTGATTAAGTGGAAAAAGTCAAACAACATAAAAGTTAAAAATATAATATTTTTTATTACCATTTGAGTTATCAAAAACTTCTTTTTAAAAAATTATCATTAGCTTTTGATACTTTTGAAGTGTTCGGTTAGATAGTAGTAGGTATAGGTTCGATTAGATAGTATAGGTAGTTTAAAATCATCAATTTTTTATTAAGCGTACGAGAGGTGGAAAAATACTTAAATGCTTACACTACGAATATACTTATTTGTGTTCATGGACTTAATTTGCTCATTTATAATGATTTCTTTACTATTTAGAGCCAAAAGGTTTAAATATTACAAAATTTCTTCAAATTTAGACCATGTGTTAACATTAAACAAAGTATTTTCTTTTCTTTTAACACCATTAAAATATGATTCAAACTTTGAATATTTATCTAATTTAACAAGAAATTTTGATTTTGCATAAATAATAATAAAAAGTCTGTGGGTTGTACGCAATGTTTACTATCGAAACGAAGGCTATAATTTCTACACAAAAATTATTTTTTTTATTTTGCAATGTTTCTCAAAAAAGTTAAAATAATCTTGTGCTAAAAATAAATCAATTTCGTTAAAAGAATTTTGGCTAGAGGATGATACACGTTTAGTTGATCTTGAAAAGAGTATAGATGTTTGTAATTGAAGAACATTGCGTTAAATTGATGGTGGATTTTTTGGTCTTTCTTTTTTTTTTTACTTAAACTTTTTCAAAGTTTTCGGGACTGTGTAGTGTTCACAGACCACACTGTCACGAATACTTTGAAAAAGTTTACTTGTTTAAAATTTGTTTAAAAGCAAAACTTGGTAGACTTTAAAAAAGTTTACTAAGTTTTGCTTTTCACTTTTAAATTTTTATTAGGAATACATTTTATCCAACGTGTTTCATTTTAGATTCGTTCAACTTTTTTTCTCTGATGAATTTTTCAAGGAACAGCCATAAATATAGAATTTTTTCACCATTTTTTAACAGACTAAGTTAAATAAAGCTATTAACAATTAACGCCTTTTTGAAATCTTCTGCGTTCATTTTATAGTAATTAATATCGACAGCATGTTACTTAAAGAGCGACATGCTTTTAAGTCAATAATCTCCACTTGTCCCTTTAAGGTTCTCGAACTTAAAAGCACTTGAAACAATTAAATGATAACATTGTGTTGAATTCGTTTTTCTTACAAAATCCATTTGTATTTATATTATATAAATTTTTATAAGAATTATTATCTTAGGTAATCATTATTTAGATAATAGAAGATGGACTCCTTGCGATGTCGAAAAAGCGTTATGGTCGAGTAGTGTCACCAAGATTCTTAAACTTAACTTAAAAAAAGTTGTTTCTGATTCAGAGGTACAAAATGAGTCGCAGCACAACAACTGTCTTGCGCTCGTCGTCAGAGCACCATTAAAAAGAGAACTAAATGATTTCTTGATAGATGTAAGCACAAAAAAGAAACAAAAAAAAAATTAATTCAAAAAGCTATCGGGTTTGATTTCTCCCACTTGATGTTGCATTGGAACAGAATGTATCAAAATGTAAAAATGTTATAAAAGGTTTTATATAAATTTAAAAAATTTTTTGAGGATAAAGATTTAAATTTTAGCTTTAAAATTTAAATAGCACGTATTAAAGATCTATAGCGCGTACTAAAGATGCATCGCGCGTATTCAAGATCTATTGCGCGTATTTAAGATCAATAGTGTGTGTAAAATTTTGCGCTTTTAAACATTTTTTAAATCCAAAATTATTATTTCAATTTTTATACGCCTTTATCGCGTGAATTTTATACGCCTATATCGCGTGGCAGCTTGTTTAGTGTGTTCAGACCAGGTTTAAGACCAGTCCAAATTTTTATAGTAATTCGACTGACCTTCTACATATTTTATTTAAAACAAACTACTTTTTAAAAATTGTTGGTTGAACTGTATAAAATACCTAACAAAAGTTGTTCCAAATGAAAAAAACTTTATTAACGACAATACGAGGGTTAAATGACCTTTAAACTAAAAAAAGAATATTGACTAAATGACTAAAAACTAAAAAAAGAATATTTTAAAAAGTAGTAGTTAAAATCATTAGGCTGAAAATTTTAAGTCAAATGTATTATTGGTTCAAAAGTTATTCATTCAAATTAGGCTATTGAATATTTTTAGGCCATTGAAAAGCTATTAAAACAAATCGCAACGTATTGCCGAACTCTCGACACTTAGGTGTTCGTCGTTGATAGAAATGATAAATTGTCGGATTTTTTAGCTGACCATCTAAATCAAATTATGGAACAGTGATAGAATACAATATCTATATTTTTTAAGTTATAAACTACTTGAAAAGTTGTGCTTAATGATTTTAACCACTCACAGTTAGCACGGATCCTAATAATACCAACCTAGCTAATTCAAGAACGCCACTTATATGAGGTGATAACGTACATTTCAAGGTACCTTGTGATGCAAATTTTGAAATCTTTCAATTTTGTCCACGGAAAACAGTTTAATTTGAATGTTCAAATTAAGTGGAATTTTGACTAATAGTACGACAATAAAAATACTCGTAGAATGAGAACCACTACATATAATTTGATAAAAACTGGTGCAGATGTAGCACATGAGCACACCAAACTCTGCATAAAATATCAGTCGGATTGGTTTACTTTTTAAAGATTTATGGCAGATTTAGTTTATATTTTGTTAATTTTCTGCTACTTAAATCTTAAAACAATACTGATTACAATTATATTATTTTATGTAGCAATAATATAATTGTTTTATTATAATATATTAATATTGGCTTGTGATATGAAAGTTAGAAATATAATTTGAACCCATTCAAGTATGCACCCTTGTACATGGTGTGACGTCAAATCCAAGTGTCTTGCCAAATCTGGAAACTTGCAAACACTGGGCTCAATCAAATCTAGCCTCATTTCTTTTTAGCAACCTGGCGAGATTGTTGGTTGTGCAAAGTTGTTTGGCAATGTCATTTGAAAGCCAGTCATCAGTGGGCCTGACAATGTTCTGATTTTGGAAATGATTCTACCAATCAAATTGCATCTCTTTATAAGAATTATCAATTATCTTTTCAAGATAATTAAAACTGCTTGGATAGAAGTTGTTAAGTGGACATTTACCCTCCACATTTAGTCCGTATCATGGGGGCCAGTTCGAAAAAAATGAATTCAGGAAGCTTCTTAAAAATGTGGATGTGCTCCAGCAACTTACTGATACAAACTCGGTTCCAACACACTTTACATAGTTAAAGCATTCAAAAGTGTCAATTTAGTTGTGTCATAAAATTCTTTTTAAAAAACTCAAAAATTACGGAATAACTGGAAATGTTTTAAAGTGGATAAAAAGTTATTTAAGTAATCGCAAACAATTTGTAACCATTGACGCTTCTTCTTCAATAAGTTTGTTAGAAATTACTTGTGGTATTCCTCAAGGATCTATTCTCGGACCTCTTCTTTTTCCTATTTATATCAACGATCTCTATAAAGTATCCAGATTAAAAACAATCATGTTTGCAGACGATACAAACTTATTCTTATCTCATACTAAAATCACTAAAAAAAGCTTAGTAAACAAAAACATGCTATCAGAATTATTTCAAATGCAGGTCAATTCACACATACTAAAGAACTATTTAATAATCTTCACATACTCAATGTTTTTCAGTTAAACCTTTATCAAATTCTTATTTTTATGTACAAACTTCATAATAAAATATCACCTATAATATTTAGTACACTTTTCAATAAAATTAATCACATGTACCCTACAAGATTTTCTGAGTACAATTATGAGCAACCTAAAATGCATTATTTGGCTACCAAATTTTCTATTGCTATAAGAGGTCCTAAATTATGGAACGCTTTATTAAGCGACGAGCTGAAAAATTGTTCTTCTCTTTACTTATTCAAAAAAAAATTGAAACAAAAACTTATTAACGATGTTAATGAATTAAATTCTTTTTAAAAAATTTTTATTTTTATTTTTTCTTTATTTTTAACAATTATCTTATTAACTCTATAAACTATCCTATTAGCTTATCTATAGTTTTTTTTTTTTTTTTTTTTAATTTCTTTTTACTATTTTCTTTTGATTATAGATTAGTAACTAGTCTTAACATAAAAGTTAAATATACAATTTCTTTGTGCCATTTTTTAAATGGCACAAAGTAATTGTATATTTAACTTTTAATGGTTGTACACGCTTGCTAATGAAAGCACGTCGGGGTGTAGTGATAAGGCAAGTATTGTCTTCTTTTAACCCCGGTCATGTAGATCTTATTTATATTACACGGCATTGTATTCTTTTTTTTATACTGACGGAATGAATAAAAAAAAAAAAACTTATGAATGTAGAATAAACAAGATTTCTTACTGGTTTAAATTTTTGTTAAATAAATTATTGCTTAATATTCAAAAAACAAACTGGACTCTCTTTCACCCGCCCTCTAAGAAAAATCTACTGCCTTATGAAATGCCATCCCTTTTTATTGATAACATCGAAATAATTAGAGTAAACGTTACAAAATTCTTAGGTGTTTATATTGATGATGATCTTTCATGGAAAAATCATATTGAAAATTTATATAACAAAACTTCAAAAAGTTTAGGAATTTTATTTAAAGCAAGAAACTTTTTAAATAAAAAAATTTTAACTCAATTATATTTCTTTTTTATTCAGAGCCATATAAATTATGCAAACATTGCATGGGCTTGCATCAATAAAAACAAACTTGAACCTCTTTATCGTCATCAGAAGCATGCAGCACGTTTGATACATTTTAGTGAACGTCTTACTCATGCAAAGCCTCTATTAAAAAAAATGAACGCCTTAAATGTATATCAACTCAATGTTTATAATACTCTTTGTTTTATGTTCAAATGTAAAACTAATTCTTCACCAGTTTCTTTCCATGATTTGTATATGTCAAAAGATAAAAATAAATACTTTTTACGCAATAACAATTTTATTAAGCAGCCATTTTTTCAAACTAACTTGAGCAAATTCTGCATTACTTCTCGCGGCCCATTCATATGTAACAAAATTGTCTTAAAAAACTTTTCTCAAGATTTTATCCAACAATGTAACTACAACTCTTTTAAACGAAAGTTAAAAGAATTAATTTTTACAATTGACGATTTATCAATTTACTTTTAATAATTTTTAATAGTTTTCCCATTTTACCTCCACTTATCAAAGAACTATTATTATTTTATAATTTATATATTTACCAAGAATATGTATCAATATATACGACAATTTATATGTTTATTAACTTATATAGTATTTATATAACTGATCTTTATATTTATAGCGGGTTTTCTGAATATTTTTAATTTGTTTGTATCACGTTCATTTTAGCGGTTCTCGACGACAAGACCTTACGGTCTTCTACGAGTCCCCGCGTTCTTTTATTTCTTATTTACGATTTTTTTTTTTCAAATTTCAACAAATTTTTGTCAAATTTCAACAGCAAAATCCCTATATTGAAACATTTTCTGCGCAACAAAGAAAGTAAAACAGCAATGTGTTAACTAAGCTATTGCAAAAATGTATTGAAAATTACGGGGGGATCAACAAAAGCTCTGCATTCTCATCTTCTTCAGTTACATAAAATAAATTTAAAAGCAGAACTGGCACGTTTTCCGATATCGGAAAAAGAACCACTGAGTAAAATAAGTTCATATTTTTCATCGAATATGAATAAAGAAGAAAACTTGTCTGAGGTGCTTGCAAGATTAACAGCTTAAGATGGGATGTCTTTTAACTTAATATGCACTTCTATTGATATACGTGCTGGACTGGCTATGAGGCAATTTTTCAACATACCTAAATCTCCAAACATTTAAAAAAAAATAGTACTTGATTTCTCTAACAATATAAAGAATGGTATAAGAAATGAATTAAGACAAGAAATTAACAGTGGAACTAAGTTATCAAATTCTTTTGATGAGTGGACGTCGATTCAAAATACCCGTTATTTAAATAGTATTGTGTGCATAATGACAGATGGAGTCAACATAATGAAAAAAAAAAGAAAACTATTACAGAATTATCAACAGCTATGCTTTGCTCACGGTATTCAACTGGCTATTATTTCAGTTTTATATAATTCTTTAGCATCAAATTGTGCTCAGAGACATTTAGTCGAGGAAATTGATAATCAAACTGAAACTTTGGAAAATGAATCTGAATTTAGTGATGAGAATTGCTTTATAGTGGATAATCAAATAACTGAAGACGTAATAATTACAAACAAAGCGATTGGTTCAGTGATTAGTAAAGTTAGAAAAAGCGTGATGGTTTTTAAAAGATCACTAACTAAAAATGATGACTGTCTTCAAAAATACGTAAAAAATGAGTTTGGAAAAAGCCTTTATTTAATCAAAGATTATAAAACAAGATGGAGCAGCTTAGTATTAATGCTTGAAAGGTTTCATAAGTTAAAAAATTGCATAAAAAAGGCGCTTGTTGATATCAGTATTAATGATTCTATAAAAATGTCCGATAATGAGTATGAAATTATTTCTGAACTAGTAAATGTGCTAATACCAGTAAGAGCAGCAGTGGAAGCGCTTTATCGA